TAAAGCAACGCTTCTTAACCCGTATAAATTCATTGTTCATTGTTCTTTGTACCTGCGCTTCGTTACCACGCAACTGCAATCGGTGGCAAGTGGGTTAATGAAATTTGCTCGGTTCCCTCCGCAGTCTCGAACCGTTGACCTTCGGATCACAAGATAGGCGCGTGATCATTTCGGCACAATAGCAAATATCTATGCTAACAAACATTTAGCTCTTATGCGATATGCTAATTCTCTTCTGAAATTCTATTTCGCGTTGCTTTACATAACACTAAAGCACTTACCGAAACCCCTTAATTGCCATTTTTGATTACATTGTGAGTACCAGCATACAACGGCTGTTAAAACCAATCTTGAAGTCCCCAATACCTTACGAACCATTACAGTGTAAAAGTCACAAGGCCGTTGCTAAAAACTGAAGTGCATTCAGCATCAAGCAGTTTCTGTAAAACGTTACCAAAACAATTAAATAGCGTGTGATGGAATACAACGAATGCGTCTCCCTACAACAGTCCTTATCCCTTCGGGACTAATGCACTAGAAATGCCGGTTTATTTTAGACAACGCTAAAAATACCATACAATTACAAATCGATGGCGGCCATCCATCCTACAGGCTATGAAAAACGCACGCAAGTTTATTTAAGCAAAGACAGTAAGTCATTAAAGCTCATTATCAATAATCCAAACTTTCGCACCGCCGTTGACAATTCGAAATCCCACATTTATATGGCAGTAATAATACTTTGGGACGTAAGCAGCAGATGCTAGTGGCATTCCTGCTTATATGAAATACCACGAACCTTGAATAAATGACCACCGCTTCGTTTATTTGTCGGGACTCTGTCATTGCCGTAACCAAGGTTTGTTAACAGGGTCGTTTATTGTGACAAAGAGCATTCGTCATGCTCATTATGTATGATAATTATGTGCCATTGCCCATTCACAGGTTGCACCGTGTGCCATTTTTCGAAGCGTTGTGGAACATTGCTTTTATTTTCGTTAACGGTTCACATCAACCGACCACCTTCAGGCGTTCTTATTTATTAGGTCGGTATGGTTCAGCTTTGACCCGTTGCCCTCCGGTTTGCCCCTTACTCTTATACTACTGACTTCCGGAGGGTTAGTGTCTACTCTTGGCCCACTACATGGCAATAGTAATTGTATTCCGTTGCTCTCCGCTCAAGAAATAGCCGCGTCGTTGAGGGTAACTTGGGACAAAGGCTATTGGATGCAACTTATATACTGTGGTACATGTTATCAACCCCATTTCCCACTGATGCCGGCAGAGAACAAATAGCAACGGTTCCTCTTTTGCTGTCCAAACGATAGAATATCAAGACAGGTCGCACTGAACTTCACTTTTAACAGACAGCTAATAAATTAACAGAAAAATAAACATATTTCATCCATAAATGATAGTCGATGCTCTGTTATCCTTAACTAAGGGCGTATTTAAAAGTCTGTTTCTTCTGCAAAAGTTATTGTTTGTGTTGTCTAGTTATGTGAGGCCTTTTTACGTAATTGCTCAGACTAGTGGTAGTGACGCTTTTATCTTGCACCTGATAGGAAAGTGCATGGTGAATTTGTTGTTGAAAAATCTGATACAGTAATCAAAAATGAAAGACTCAGATGCTTGATTCCGCACCTTACGTTTCGTCCACTAGTGATTCTAGCTGAGCTACGTTATATAATTGGTCAATGCATTTCATGTTTGTGAGGGTAAAAATGAATTTGCTTCAATGTATCCAGATTTAAGAAGTCAGTACCATTGCGGACAATACTGTGGTCCAGTGCCAAGATGGATTTAACGAGCTTTTTACTCTGTTATTATATTAGCTTCATATTAGTTACTGGAAGTTTCCTCAGGAAACTTACTTGTGTTTATTCTCTCAACACCTGAAAACGTGTTGTTGATCCTTTCCTGTTAGTAACAGAGTCAAGGAGTATACGATAGTGCTATGTTGTGAAATCTGACTTCTATGCACTCTAGTGTTTACCGCATATCTAAAGGTTTCTGTCATTTGTAGATTGCCGATTCCCACTGCTTCCATGGTAGACAGGCTGCTACTCGCAGGGACATGTGTGGTAAATGGTCGGTTGCTTGCGACATTCGGTATGCTAGGAATTTCAGTAAGACCACGTGCTTGGTGGTTACAGGCAGATAAAGTGCAAGAGAATTTCCGTGTGTAAACAAATTGTCGCCGTCAGCTGATAATAACGGTTATCAGGGATAAGCGATAACCAGCATGAATGCAAAAGAAACGCTGACCTGCTCCTTCTAATTCCAATAACAACTTAGTGGTGTAAAGACTTTGTAGAGTAAAGTTGTAGCCAGAAAATCATTCACTAAAGAGCCAAATGAGTGGTGAAATTTCCATCACTATACAGTTCTTAGCAGTTTTTAGGCGCAACTAAATTGGATCCATCATTACTTGGTCTCTTCCCCAGTGTATGTAACTTCAGTGAAGTTAAACCTTTTATCCCCTTCTCGTTGTCACTGATACCTGCCACACCGTACTTTGTAGGTTAAAGCAGGAAAAATATAAAATGGACGATTTAATGGTGCGTTACCAATTCATATTCGAGTACACCGTGGCAAGCAGGTTCATCAAACTCGAGGTGTAGATAATTCTGACATTTCGGATGGTTATCTTACCTCCAACGCTGGCTTGTGGCAGTTGTTGTTCCAAAATTTTGTAGGATTTTGGTTGTACCTTCTTAAAGGTAGGCCCACCATGGCGCCACAAGTGTTCTTCTACAATTTCCGCTCGAGGTTCCTGGTTTGCTGGATTTATCACTGCAGGTCGACTAGCTGCCGCATACTGCTGCATGGTGATGTTGTATTGAGCCACATTGAAATCTCTCCTGAGTAGAAAAAGATAGAAAATTTGGGAGATAGTGAAATATATGTGGAGGTTCGGTTATAGTGAGCCGATATTGCTAGGTCACAACGCTAAAGAGCGTAAAATTATGAAATCTGCTTCTTTTTCATGATCATTTAACTGGATAAATGACGCTTATTCGGTATACAATTACGATTATCGGTTAGTCAAAAATGCGACATTCCAATGAGTTCATCAATCCATGGATACTGGTATACATTTTTTACTGTGACTCTGCTCCTAACAGTAGAGTCAAATACAATGAAAGATTTTGATTTCGGACATCCAGGAAATTAGCCCTTTTGTCAGACCCTCGGCAAGGAGACTGGCTGCTTCATAATAGCGGCCGACCAGTAAAATTTATCTGAAATAGTTAAGTTTTAAGGAAGGTACTGTAGTCTTCTGGAGAATTCCAGGGTTGCCTGCGTAAAATCTTAACAATAAAAACCATTTCATTTTATACTTCGGAGACTGTTGCGGATTGTTGAACTGATTGTTGGTTTCGACCGCATGAGTCGAGCAAAGCTTCTGCTTGGCAATCGTTTTCGTTGCATCGAGTGAACGCTGCTGTATGCTGCTGTTCTTTGTTCCACCTAGCTATCAGCGTCAAAGAGATTGTTTTAATAGTTAGAGTAACAGATGACCTTTTACTTTGCTAACTGAAAGCTTTCTTGCAACTTGATCTGCATTGTTGAATTATCATCAAGTCTCCCGCCAAAGCTTATTGAATTTCTAAACGTAATGTACTTTCTGAGTGGCCTGTGTAATATATGATGTTAGGCAACGGCAGACTAACAACATCTTAAGTTTGACGTATTTTCTGGCTTTAAACATATGTGGCTGTTTCTTTCCTGTAGAGTATGCACTTCCTTCTGACATACATATTATGAAACGTGTTAAAACGTGAGGTTAGTGAAAGTAGAGATCTCAGCTTAAGTATTCTTAGTAAGTTGGTGACGCCGGATTATCCCTCTCTAAAATTTAAACAGTTTCACCATCTCACTACCCCTTAGGATCAGTTATTGCTTAAGCTAGCTAATACTTCCTTTCGGTGACTGCAGCTCAGTGAAGCAAATCTCAGTTTAGCGGGCCGGTCCTATCCCCTGCACAACGGAACCGCCCAAGAAAATGATGGGTGAGTTCACGCAATTTGCAACAGCTGTATACTGAGTCATGTTATCTGCTGCTGATCCACTGGTGCTTATGGGTTTTAAATTCGGACCGGTTATCTTAGTACAGTCCAACCTGCTATGGAGACCACCTGTCTATGGCGACCAGCCTAACACACCCACAACATTTTCTCCTATGAGTAATGTTCCTATGCATAAACCTGCCAGCTGCGACCACCTTTAAAATGCGAACACTTTTTGTCGGTCTTTTGAATAATCGCCTTAGACAGGTTTGATTTTAATGTGACAACTTTTTGCCCCAGACGGAATGAATAGAATACAAATGGCTAACACCACCTAGCAAAGACTGCGCGACAGTCCATTGCCTTCCGAATATGCATTGGCTGCTTGCCTGAGTGTTTCTGTGGTAAATTTCCTTCGAAAGCATGAAAATGGAATTAGCAAAGTCCCGTGCACCAGCTGACACTAACACGCTTTGTAGGATGGAGTGCAGTGGCATGGAAATAGCATTAACTACCCTTAGTTTTCGTAATTTATAATAGCGCTAGGTTTCGTTACCAGGACATAATCGCAGTTAGCCTCTCACGTTCTAATCTTGAACGCAATTCATGGAAATCGGAAGCTATTGATCGGCGTGCATGGCGCGAACAGATAACGAACGTTGTTGTCGAGGTGCAAGAGAAATTCTTTGTGCACGCAGAGAAGAAGAGGTAGTTGCGGAAGCAGCAAGCACCGATGGGTTCTACTCCATCGACATCGAGCGCATGGTGCTGTAGCACTTGCGGTCGCGAATACCTGAGTCATGCAGGCCTGGTGAGCTTTGACCGAGGCCAGTCGGGGCCAACACCGAAACGAACACGAGTCCTGCAGTGGACGTAGACAGAACCGGCACAGCGTTTGTAGGTAAGTTGAACTCAATTTATTAACCGCCTGCTTACCAGCTGAGTCTCTTTATTTCAGGTGGTAGGTTTGCTGCATTGCCCTAATGCTTTTTTATAATAATGTCTATCTGAAGTATCTTATACCTACTTGTTCACTTCACTTAAAAGACCTTAGTCAACCTCGGTAGCATTTTCGCGTTTGTGGCATTTGCTGCAAATACATTTTTTGACGTCTTGAACATATGGTGGATTTAGTGCTTTCAAATGGATTTCCTATACACATGTAGTGAGGAGTTATGTCTCCGTATCTGTATGCATTATTCGATTTATTTTATTGGTCGCGTCGTTTCAAGTGATTGGTTATTTGTTGATATCCTCGGTGTGGCTGTGCTTGATGTGCATGTTGACAAGGTGCCTACCTGTCTATTACCCACTACCTCGTCCATACTGGTTCCAGGAGACATATGCACGTTGCTGGGGGCGGCGAAGCGCACGGTCTTTTTGGCCGTGCCATGTTCGACGAGTGATTCCATGCACTCAGTGTAGAGTGGGCTACGATCCAGCCACCGCCTTGTGTGCGCTTGATTCCCAAATACAGAATGCTTGTTTTTACTTGTGAAGGAGTGTGGGCCGACTCCGTTGCTGAAACTGGCTTCCATCCACATCCCTCCCGGTATTATTGCTTTGGTTTTACTCTGGATATGGGGTGTGTGGTTGGAACTGTGGATGTTGCAGCGCAAGCCACCCATGGTCCATTTGTAGGCACAGGCGTCCTGTGGTTGGCCACAGTGACAGGCAAATCCGAAACCGGATGCCGCCAACCATGTTTCTCGAAAACGCGAGACACGGTCCAGTCAACTTTCTCCGATCATCATTCAAACGTTTCATTCCGAACTGTTACTATACAATTGTATGCCATTAGCTAAAAGTTTGGTCTAATTTGCTTTAACTTCTCAGTGGCGATTTATCCGGAAACTAGTTATCGATGATAGGTCTCTCAATATAAGGTCAGAGTAAATGGGGTCGAGGAAGCTGTAACTCATAAGAAAGTAAACTAAATGTTGTAAGTCCAACTTTACACCAAGCGTTGCAAAAACAGAGCGAAACGGAAAGAAGTAATAACGGGATTGTGTAAGATTGCGTCTTGGGTTTGAGGTGCACAAACGTGCAGTGGAATCAGTCTGGTATATGGGAAGCAGTGGTATATATTTTGCAGGCTAACTGCGTTGTATATTTTGTCTTATACATTGAGACTTCTTGTTGTAAGTTGCGTAGGTGACTAGTAAGCGCCTTACAGACTACTTGGGACAATGGAGTTGTATGGTAACAAGAGTTAGAGAAGACAAAAATTTGCTTGACGGGCGCTTTTCAGAAATTGGCTCAGGTATATAATGCTGCCATGAGGAGGTCACCGAAAATTATAGGGTTTTGATTGTCTGTTTTACGAGTGCGTCCATTGTTTCAAGCTAGATTTGTAAAACCAAGTATAACTAAAACGAAGTACTGAAGGGAAAGATTGGTCTAAGTCGTGTTGAGAGGATTTAGGTGTCCAATCGACAAATGTGTCGGTGGTTCCACAAGCCAAAAGCAAGTCAAGAATCAAGTAAAACGAAAGAGAAGGTACGGTTGTGGCGATGGTTAACTGAATTTGAGATCCCAGCTAATCCATTTGCCGTTGGTTAAACTTACACATACCAGTAGTATATTTAAATAAAATTAGTAGGAATCATTGAGGGTCAAAATAGACTGTGGTGGATAAGACAAAGCCTGGATTTCCTACCCACCAATATGCTAGTGAAGTCACTGGCCAACCGTGAGATTTCTGGATGGATAATAACTAGCGAATGCATTAAATATCTAGGTCAAATTGAGAAACAAGATCTGCTTTTATATAGGGCTGAAATGTTAAGTTTGAACTTAGTCTTAAATTATATGCCTCCTAGACTTTGCTTGTATGCCTGAGAAAACTTGTTAAAAAACAGCCACGACATTTCAACGGCTGTCAGGCATTTATCCAGCATTTCAAGAAAGCCATGTTCCGACAAGATTTTACGAATGTTGTTGGGCAGTTTGCCTCATTTTCTGGAGTACATATACAAAAGATTTCCTAGACATGTTTATTTTGAACTGTTTCCATTACAGAATATTCTTTATTACTATTATTGTGTTCTTGATTTTTTAAAGTGCTGCGTTTGTGCTAAAAACAAAACCGAGACAACAACATGAAACTAATGACGCAACAATCTCGTTTGAATTGTAGAAAGTATTTTTTCTCACTTAGAATCTGTTCTTACTGGAATGCATTACCAAACTATGTAGTGAACGCACCAGACATGACGACCTTCGAAAGACTCTTAGATTTTCATCTTAGTGATAAACGATACACAACACTTTTTTAAAGTGCAATGATTTAACCACTGATACTTTACGTTCCACGTTGGAACATTTTGATTTTAATTTCCTTTTGCATATCCATCCTGTGGGTCTTGTAATGTTGTGCTTTTTATCCCATCATACATCATTGAACCATTGAACCTCTTTTGTAGAAAATTAAATAACAACGTTAGGTTTACTTTTGAGCAACGTAGCTGTAATGGGTCAAGCTTAAGTAAATCATCTCGTTCATGAACAGGCACCTTTGAAGTGTCATTCAATGCTGGCAGTAGCAGTTTATTGACGACACCATTATGCTTCCTTGAGTTACAATTTGCCATCGAGCGGTATTCGAGTAAAAGACTAGCAAACGGTGCCTAAATTCAACAAGTATTATCTTGTAGAGCAAAATTTCTGATTAATGATGTCCAGGTTAACTTAACCGAGCATTAGAAAACAGTGTAAACAGAACTTAGGCTCTTTCCTGTAACAAGTGCTATAAAATTAAACCTAAACCTATTTTGAATTCCATCTCCTGAAGTGTGACGTTTTAAGATTTTCTGTCAAGTAAATGAAGATCGTTCATGTAGGCGTGCTCCAAAGCAGATGTCTCCGGAATATTGACTAGCGCTGCCTTTGTTAGCACACAATTAACAGGGTCAGGTCTCAAGAGCATCGGACGGCGTACATTCTATACGTAACACTCAGTTGGTATTCTTTCTACACCATGCGCTTTTGGCACTGATTGATACCAAATATGTCTAGGGCATGTTGCGGCATATATATGGAGCAGACGCTCACACCCACCCCAAAGTTTGTAGGTTAAATGGATTAAAAACGCAAGTGCCTATTTGAATTATAAGAAAACATGCGTGATTGTGGTCATTTAGTTTGTAAGAAGAACCTACCTGACAGCATAACATTATGCTTAATTTGGTGTGAAATCTTCGTTGGTGTGCTTATTTGATGTTGTTATAGGAACGACTAATAAGACACCCACCGGACTAACTGGCTGCCATCAAACAGAACGATTGTCCAATAGAACGCTCAGGTGAGCCTGGAAGTCAGTTACTGGTTTACTGACTTTTGGCATTCAAGCAAGTACAACAACCACAGAATGTGACAAGAAAGTACGCCAAGCTCCGTTGAGCTTGAATGTCTCCCCCAAAATTTTGATGAGAAATTTTGAAGGATGTAGACTCTTAATATACATATATCTCACTTTTTGACTGTGAAATCCAAGTCATTTCCAGCCCTCAGAATTTCGGCTTTCACTTGAGCGTGGGTCATTCCGATAACAGGAGTTGCGCAAATCTTTATAATCACGTCACCAGGTTCCAGTCCAGATTTGTGGGCTATTCCGTTTCGCGTGACCTGGGTGAAAAGATGGAGGAGTAACCGTTGGACTTGATGATGCGGCTTTCATAAGTACGCTGAGCTTGGAAGCAAGTACTAGATACTACACTGAAACTCGGTGATATCAGATTATTTATCCCAAGGAAATAGGCAGCAGTAATTGAATGCAGTGGCTTGCACAAGTAACAAAAGGAAAAGCATCTTAGTTCACGACCTCACCTGCATTTTTGATAATCGTTTGGTTTTAGATGCAGTTGATTTCCCTTAATCCATACATAAAGCTAGTAAAATGAGCAAAATATTGCACTCGCTACACATGTGTGTTAACCTACTGCCTAGCACATTCAGGTCTCAATGCAGAGCATGTCAAATGTTATCCAAATATCCCAAAACTCTTAGAATTCAAAAGTACCGACATTCCTACTGATACTGTGTCATTGTATGCATTAATAAGTCTTTTTGTTATTGTTTCTGTACGTTTCGTTGTGTATAAAAAATTCTACTTTTAGAAGTTCACCCGTCCTGGCTTCGTATTGAACTCGTGCGTCACATTCCCCAGTAGATTTCCTGTCAAGTCAAGGCATAGCAAAGTAGCTGTATGTATCTAGATGGGTACTTTTTCAGCACTTTAAACCTGCTGCGAATAAACTAAAAGTAAAGTATCAGAACCGTAAATTTCTATAAATGGAAAATAGCACGCTGCACAGGTGTTATTTAAAGAAACGGTCCGTATAAATGATCAATAACTAATCATTTCCGGACCGGACAATCTGAAGTTGCCTTGACAGGCCGGTGTTGCACGCTAGATTGACAATCCGGGCGGTCATTCAAATGCGTAGCAGCGTGAGTTTTTCTCAGAAAATTGGCGAAGGGCAGCAGTAGTGACCTCGGAAATACTTTTACAAGGTTCATTGTTGAATCATTCCGAGAAAACTAATGTATCCATAGCGATAGTGTAAGATTGATGCCAGTGAAAACGGTGCGACAGGTTTAATGCCTTCACCATGAATGAGCTGTTAACGCTTGCTTTGCTTTCGGTGATAACGCAGTTTAGTTAGGGAGTTAAGCAGATATTGTTGAATGCCAAACGTAAGTAATGTGGGCCATACCCCAGTCCTTTTAATTTGTAGTAATCCCCACTGGAAAAATCAACCGACTCTTTATGCCAACGGGTTTTTATTCTATCCATAGTCCATATAACTAAATGGGATGGAGGCAAATACCACTGCTTTCGAATATTTATCATCATTTGATCAAACCCACCGTGTGCCGGGTAAATTTTTGTTTCATATTTTTCACTGAATTCCTATATGTTAGAACTCAGTCGTACTATCACACTACATAGTTGATAAAGAAACGCTATGAATGTAGTTTGCAAAAACGAATCGTCAGCACTTAATTCCATGAGCATAGAAATATAATACCAGCCAGCTTTCCGTAACTTCGCCTCTTTCCAGCATCATCTTGCCGTCACTGGGTAATGTTAATCAGAATGTTTCTGCTTTCATCTGAGATATTTAAAAAAAATGTCTACCGTTATTTCCGATTCGGCACATTCTAGCACAAATTTATGTCGGGTTTTGCCATACTAAGCGTTTTGTTGCTTCTCATCTTTTGGAGCCTCCAGTAACGCAAACCCTTTGCTTCCCACTTTTAAATATGTGTTGGAAAGTTTTGCTCCTGCAATTCAAATGAGGATAGTCGAAGACAGCATGGGTCAAGATTGCTTTATGAGGACCGGACAGGGCGAATGGTTTGGGGTATATATACCCATGCGTAAAGTTATGGCATTTCGAGTATCCTATCGGCGAGTCGAATGCCAGACGATGGCCACCAGATTGACATACATGATTCAGCTATTTCAGAGTTGGCTACGTTTTACCCTCACATGTGCACATAGTCGCAACCCAATTCGGAAATTCCAACTGCAATCTTATAGATTCACATAGGAATTGATGAGAATATAGACATGTACTTAATTCTGGGAGTCTATATATCGCACAGATTAGCTGTTCTAAGTCTACTGTTGCTTTTTATCTTTACAATAAACTCTAAAGTGATTTCCACCCGGGTCTCAGATAGTTGGCATTTTCGATTGCCTTCACATTCACGACCTCAACCTCTTTACGTTCATTTTTGTGCATTGGGGTAATTTCCTAGCCAATTTATGGAGCTTGTAGCGATAGAAAATAACTGCCTAGAAAAAACATTCTGTAGTAATATTTTAGTAGAGTCCCTGTATAAACTCCAACATTGGGTTTTTTTATACTGCTCTTATAAATATGACATGAATGTTCGCGCTTGCAGATTTTCGGTACATAGAGAACATCTCGTAAAACCAAGTAGATCCAAAAATAAGTGACAATGAACAAGGTGCAAAAAGGCGGCCAGTAATACAATCGTCGAAATATCCATAACCACTGTACGAGTACCATCGAGGACAGCTGTAGTGAGTCACAGCCTTTTAATCGTGTGTCTTAAGCCAGCCTTGAAAATTGCCCTAATGGTTTCTACGGGCTCTAATTAAAAATCCGAAGTGCAACGGTGGTTGTCGGTATTTCCGATGGTTTTCTCGTATTTCTTTGCTTAACACATATGGGACGAATGCAGTAGTTTATTACCCAGGTCTACCTCAATATATGAAGATATGTTTTCAACACCCATATGGATGACTTAACCTTCAAATGTCATTAGGATTGTACAGGCGGTCCCAGTCACCGTCAGGAATGGACGGACGAACCCGAACAGAGTTGAGCCAGTTAACGTACTAGGTCCTTTCACTAGAAATAGATCATATGCGTACAACGCAATCCTACTTTTTCGATCGTCAACCTTATATGTGCAACAGTTAACCCGCTTCTTCATAAAGACAGTCTTCATAAAATCAAGGCAGTACTGTGAACGGTTAAACTGCATTAGCAGCGCATACTTGATAGTGTTTTGCTGAAGCCGTATCTATAAAATATTGGTTTGCTTTTGGCTCACGGATTCCACAACCACACGGTGGTTCTTTACTGCAAACCAATAGCGCTGCTTATTATAGTCAACTGGTAGCCTTATTGTGGCTGAAATGTTTCACACTAGAGACTCCTGTATATTGCTTGTAAATGTGACAGTATAAAGAGACCGTTAAGTCCTACTTATCGTAATTTTTACTTATGCTAAACTATCATCAATGATTGAGAAATATTTATTCATTAGCAGTTGTTCAACATTCAGCAGTACTGGCACTATGTACGGTATGGGGACTTGGCGAAAATCACATCCGGCGAAAAAGAGGTTCGTTAACATTGACATCCCAGCTTGGAATGGCACTTTCCTACTATTTATTTGGACCCAGTAAGAGTGTCTCAACTATTTTGGCTCATGAAAACCGGACAGTTGTGATGTGACATGCAAACTGAATGTTATTTTAGGACCAGTGGACAAGCTTTTGAAGTGGTCGTTTGTATATGAATGGAGTTGGATAATGGTGAAGACGTGCAGACCTAAACAAATTGGATTCCGTTTCAAGAAAGCAGACTTTCCAGATAGCAATGCTGCTTGAGCTTATAGGTGCAGAACGCAGATAAAAAGCACAGTCTTTAATATGATGACCTTGAGCGAGTATCAGCTGAAGCTACTTTCTTATTATACTGCTGCCCAGATTCACTTTTTCAGCGATTAACTCTTTTGATATCACACACATCCACTAAAAGTAAAAGGGACGGAAATAGCCGAGCATAAATTACATAGAAGCTTACGTCATTGACTACTGCCCTATAGCTGTAATCGTTTCGTCAGAGCAGAGGCTTTGTAGACGATTTGCCTTTGGCTAGATTCGGGGGCGGCAGGCAGCTGCAGTTTGAGGTATCCTAAATCCTTTTCAGTTTCCTAGCTGACTGTCCAGAAAAGGCTTGGAGCCGAGCAAGAAGTTATCATTTCAGAACACTTGATGAACGACAGCTTAATGTAGTTGTTGAACGCAGGATATCTTGCTTTTGACACAAAAGTATGTGATTACGTTGGCATCTAACAAGCTACACATAAGCAAGTAGCTATACTGAGAACTAAACATATGGGATTGAAAAAGTTAGCTAAAACCGTTAGTCTAATTTATTTGTTGCATTACCTAACCTACCAGCAGTGTTCAGGACCCTGATGCGGTAATTATTAGAAATTAGCCCTTTCTCGGATGTAAGCTGCAGAGATGGATATTATAATAATTTGCTACAATATGTGGGACTTCAATGAATGGTATTACGATTGACAGCGCTTCCAGTCTAAAAGCGAGGGTGCTTCCATGGCACTGAGGACAGAGACTGTGTAGAGTCCATGTTCAAACAAATAGTTTCATTTGTTTGTAGACTGAAGATATCAATGTAAACAGAGCATACCTTACTGTTAATGTAGTTATAACCAGACATCAATGTAACCAGAGCATACCTTACTGCTAATATAGTTATAACCAGACAGCTATCAGCTGTTTCACCCTGCTCCCGCAGCTGAAAATTCTCAATTCAACTTAACCGGATCTTAATAAAGCCGGGCTGTAGAAAATGACGTACAGCGAACCTCTGCTACGCCTATCCCAGTTAATCTCCTATGAAACTGGGCTTTATACAGATAACAGGCTCATGATAATAGATTTAGAGTAAAACGTATCTCGCCAGTTGCTTTTCTCAGGAATTAGCATAATTCAACGGTGTTCTGAAGACGAACATTTTTGGGCAGAAGATAAACATTCCATTTTCTCCGTTGATGACACGACACCGGTAGAACGCGACATTAGAAAGGAAATAATAACTGCATGACCATTACTGCAGCTGGGTCAACTGTTCAACCGCGGTGACGCCCTTGTGTAATGTGCGCAAGTAAAACAAACCATTTCAACATGAACTTCGTATTCCAGTTTAACCGCAGGTATTGATGAACAGTGGACAATGAATAACGATTTTATACGGGTCAAGAAGCATTGCTTTACAAGCCCCGTTGGGTGGTATGGTGGGTTATCAAAAAAGGTTAATGAAAAAAGCAGT